TCTAAATTGGTAATGTTTCTAGGTATTTTTCTATTTATCTCACAGTAACTGTGTGACTTTCTGCTGAAAAGGGGAAAAAATATTTTCTCCAAATGTTTAAGGCACAGTATGTTCTTGTTCAGCTCCCTTACAAAAGGCTGCATTGACTTGTTACAAGCTTCACATTGTTTGAACTCTTACTTTAAAAGGCTTTTTAGCTCATAATGATACAAGAGACAGCTTTAAACTCATTAAGCTTATGCACAAATGAGTTGCTTAAGGACATGGGTCAGTGGGCCAGTTACCAGGATAGCTTTTTGTTATTGCCCCTTTAGATTAGTGATTGAGAAGCATTAAGACAAATAATATTGACTAAAGTGATTTTAGCATAGTTTACAGAGTTAAAGTCACTACATCTTAACTTGGTAGGCCATCGATGAGTGCAATAAACAACTACAGTAGTGTTACTTGTTTGTCTTATCAAATATAGTGGATGCATGTTGATCTTTGCTAAAGGATATTTATGTTAAATAATTCTTGTGGGTTATATAGCTGTAAACATTTTGTATGTTGTGCTGTGAGGACTTCAGCATTTTTTTTTTACAGGATATGCATTTTGCTAATATTAAAATTGGGAAATTAATAAGGTCTTTTTAAAAGGATAATAATAAAATGCTCATAGGGGTGTGTGCATGTGTGACCCCAGCACAGTTATAGCATAGGAAATGTGGGCTGTAGACTCATGGAAACATTGAAGAGGGGAAAGTCAGAGTCAGTTGAATAATTCTTTATTAGAAGGTTAGGATTTCCTCACTAACTTCTGTCCTTTTTGTCTTGGAAAACCATTTTGGCTTGTTTTGACTACAGCTGAAATGTGTCATATTTTGATTTGGTTTAACAAACAAAATTTGTGATTCAGCTGTTTACTATGCCAAAATAACTATGTGCCAGTATCACTGAGCATGCCAATACTACTCCTAATGCTTGTTGTAATAAGTCTCTTTGTCTTGCAATAATAGTTAGGTTTTTTTTAATTATTTGTGCTGGAGGGTCAAAATTTAAAAACTACCCATAATTATATATCTAACAAGAACCCCCCTCCTATCAGACTCTGACAGCTTTTGATCAGGTTCTGGTCTAAACAGTTCATAAACTAGTTTCCCTTTAAATGTAAATAATTAACCAAAGGGTCTTTCCCGTAAAGACAAATAAGGGATCGATAAGTGTAATATTGTATGTATCTCTTTATTGCAGAGGACTGACCCGCAGCTCCTTGCCCAGTTCTACTATGCAGATGAAGAACTAAATCAAGTAGCAGCTGAACTGGACTGTTTGGATGGAAGAAAAGACCCACAAAGATGCACATTGCTAGTCAACCAATTCCGCTCTTGTCAGGTAACCAGAATGGCACCTTCTCAGATATGTTTTATCTTGTTTTGTTTATACGGATTTATTACCTAGTTTTATTGCCTAGTTTTCGGAATTATAACTAAATCCTTAAGAAACATGCCTTTGATAAATGGAATTCCTACTTAAGCTAAAGTTGTTTTACATTTGCTCTCAAAGAATTGTGCATAAACAAAATCTACAAACAGCTGCTCATGAATTAAAGATTTGTAAATATGTATACAATAAAGTTTAGATACTTTTCGCATATGAAATATTGTATACCATGGTCAGAGTTTACCAGTGGTTACCAAAATTTGGAATCTGAGATATTGCAGGATTCAGACACTACCATATAGTAACTTATTTTCTAAATGTTGAAGTTTTTAATGGTATTCACTGTTTAAAATTACCTAAACTTCAAATTACATGACAGGAGTAGCTTCCCATCAGTCACTTATGTAGATGGGGGGAAATGATTGGCTTTTCAATTAGATCCTAAGTTTTGGAGAAAATATGATCTGTTTAATGCAAAGAGCCTTGAAGGTAAGAAGGGACAACTAAGGTTTCCTTACTTCTACTGCACAAAGCAAGGCATTTCAGCTGTAAGCAGTATTCAGAACCAGAGTCTTTCAATGGGTTTACTAACATATCTGCTTTGTATATAACATTTGTTTTTATTTAAAAAGTGAATCCGGATATTACCTACTGAAACTATGGTCTTTTTTTTGTAAGTGAGATCCTGTGGCAAAAAGGTGAGAGACGGCAAAGATCAATTAGATTAGGGGTCTCAAACTCCCGGCCTGCGGGCCATCTGCAGCCCGTGAACCACCCCAACGTGGCCTGCGGGGCTCCAGCAGTTTTGGGGCTGAGTCTCTCCCTTGGTCCCACCTGCTGCTCCCGGGCGCTCCCCCTCCAGGGGCCCCGGCAGTGCAGCGAAGCTGAGCGGTGTCTGCCTGCTCACTCCAATGGCTGCCGGCCCATCCCTGCGGCCCTGGGGCAGGGCGGGGCTGTGCCTCCATTTGCTGCCCTCGCCCCAAACACCCCTGCAGCCAATGGGATGCTGTGGGGGCAGTTCCTGGGGGCAGCAGCGCATGGAGGTCTCCCGCCCCGCCCCGCCTTGGAGCCCCAGGTAAGCGCCGACCCCCCGACCTCCTCCCAGAGCCTGCATCCCAACCCCCTCCCCACATACCCCCTCGTGCCCCCAAACTCTCTCCCAGAGCCTGCAACCCCTTCCCACACACACCCTCCTGCCCCCAAACTCCCTCCCAGAGCCTGTACCCCTCCTCCTCCTCCTGTACTCCTACCCCCTGCCCCAGCCCAGAGCCTGCACCCAGCACTCAAACTCCCTCACAGAGCCTGCACCCCAATCCCCTATCCCAGATCACCTCCCCCACCCAAACTCCCTTCCAGAGCCTTAGGCAGGTGGGGGGTGGAGTTTTTGGGAGGGTGAAGTTTTGGGGGGCAGGTTCTGGGCGGCATGAGTGATATTATTGGCCCACTGGGAGGATTTGAGGACTGGCACTGGCCCTAAGGTAAATTGAGTTTGAGACCCCTGAATTAGATCATTGTAGTAGGGGCCTGGGTGGGGTGGGTGGCCTGATTGTTAGCATCCGCTGAGCTGGGGGAGGATAGTGGTAGGGGAGCCCGGGCCTGTCCACTCCAATAAGTTCCAACCCAGGGCCCTAGCAGAGTCAGCAGCATTGAACCCTGGGGTGGTTATGAATCCTCTGTTACACCCTCACTGGGTTGCTTCATGTCATTACTCTCTCCACCTCTGGTCTCAGATAAGAAGAAAGAAAAAAATTAAAAGGAAACCAAATCATCAGTCCCAGACCAACCCAGTCCCAGAGTTCTCCATGCTCAGTGGCAAGAACTTCCTTTTCTAAGCATACACTTTTTGGCAAGGTCAAGTGAGGTGAATGAAAGTCCTCAGTGGAATGTGAGAACAAATAGACTGGATAGGAATAAAACTTCATTTACACCTCTGCCAAATTAAAAAGAAGAGGAATGCTAAAGAGAATGTATTGACTAGCTTTTTTGCTGGAATTGCTTACTGTTCCTACGATCAATAAGACCACTAAGACTTGCAAAAAAGAGTTGCTAACTTGGTGAAAAATACCATCCATTAATCAGGTTAAAATGACATTGAAGAGCAATGTACCATCAGGATACCAAGCACCCATATTAAGTGAGCTGAATCTAGGGACATAGGGAAAAAAGAGTAATGTACTGTGTGCTCTCCTTTCTGGCATCTCTTTAAAAGAAGGCCTGCAAAAGTTTTTGAGAGAATGTTTCCATAGAAGCAGCTCATGTTCAAATTACCATAATTACCTCAGGAGAGATTTCACCAAAGTTTTATATTTATCACCTTAGTTTGCTTTTGCAGTTTCTCAAAGTTTGCTATTATGCTATCACTAGTGAACAGTGGTGGATTGTGGCGTATGGCTGCAGGGAAACAGCAAGTCTAGTATAAGGCAATATTGCAGGGTGGCTGTAGACTTCACTATTCTTATTTTTAAAAGAAACCTTTAAATGTGCACAACATTGAAAAAGGACAACTAACTTTAAGGCAGGCCCAATTCCTGAAGAGTGGAAGTAGTCACCAAATCAGTGCATTACCACAGTAGAGCAGTAAGTCAAAAGAGCGATTCTTAGGACCTGATCACACACAAAAAAGTTGCCATCCCTACTAATTAGATGCATGTAGTCAAGGATGCCACATTTTGTCTTAACTTATCTTTACAGTTGTTACATTTAACAGAAGTGACAGTCACCTAGTCATACAGGAAATGTCATACTGGGGTAGAACCCTGGTCAGTTCCGTTGACTGTATCCTCTAATGACATCCCATGCTGTGACACTAATACTTTCCTGGTGACTTTTATGCTTAGGTTCAGTTGTCAAACAAAATTGCTGCTACCAGAGCAGTCGATCATAAGAGCAGAAAGACTTGAAAATGCTTACACTTTCTATGTATGGCTTGATGCAAGATGCCAGAATGTTTGCAGAAATTGCCACTTTAATGATGTGCTACAGGAAAGATCACACCGTAGTTCAATGGCATATGAAATAGTTATATTTCTTAATTAGAACTATTTTAAACTTTATTTTTATAGCCTCCAAAGTGTTCGAGGTGTTTTACAAAAACAGGTCTCTTCTTGAAGAGCCTTCTGTCTAAAAAGACAAAGTTGCAAGAGAAAGAGTTATGCTTCTTTTTAATGATTTATAAGAAATTAGAGGACTGTTGCTTGAGGAACTGTGGAAAGATTTTTTTTTTTTTGAGCAGGTACTTGGGAATAAGGATGGGAGGACTTTCCAGCATCTGAGAAGACATGAAGGTGCTTGTGAAAGAAAGGGGAACCAAGGTCCAATTTTTGTATCAAAAATATTTTACTGCAAGTATATATGTATGAAAATATCTCAGCATAAACTTAGCATTTATAGCAAGGAAGTGTGTGATTTTTATTAATGATACTGAACATTTTAAAAACATACTATTTTAATTTCCTCAGGAGATACTTTTCAACAGGACCTTGGAAACAGCAGAGCTTAGTTTACCAGATTCCCAGGCTTTGTATGATGCGTTTTTCTGTTAATGTCTAGTACCTGAATTTCCATCATTTCTGCTTTCCGTAGCCCACTACCGGGTTATCCTCACAATCTCATTTAGAAAAGTTGACTGAGAAATGATTTCAGTATGAGCTTGATTTGCCCTTTTTTTTTTTGTACTTTGTTTCTAGCACTGGTATCCTTTGTCTTTTTAGCTAGTTTCAGAATTAATTAATGAGATTGATCTCTCCTCCTTGTTCTTGGGCTGTTTGTCTTTAACACATTAGATTGACAATGCCTGCTTAATTAGCAAGTGTCATTCTTAAACTTAATACCATCTTTTCTTAAATAGAAAGAAAATATCATTTCTGACTGATAGCAGATTCATAATAGACCAACAGATTTTACTAACCTTTATTCTTTTGAGGAAAAGACTGTATTTTATTTTAGAAGATCCTTCAGAGGTTTAAACTTAATAAAGATCTTTGTCTAGACTTCTCAGTTTTGGATCTAAGGTTTTTAAAAGAGCTCCTAGTTATTGGAAGTGTGGTGATATTTATTTATACGGCTACAACAACTTTAGTGTGCATAATGCTTTATAGACAAACAATACAGGTCCTGTCCTGAGGAACTAAACATTTTAGATTAGACATATGTGTTTTATATAACGAATATCTTCCATCTTCCCCACCCAAAGGAGGATTTTTAGTCTTGGATGAGGCATACTGATGAAACGAAGGAGTTATAATGGCACACTCATGATGTTAGATTTTCATGTGGCTCAATAGAAAATTTCAGGGCTGTCAACATAGTTTTAAAAAAACCCAAATAAAATCATAAACAAAATGTTTAATTTTTTTTAAAAGCTCTATTTTATTCAAAAGCTCTTTGAGTAATGATCAAATGTTTTAAAAGTAAAATTAAGTTTTTAAAACTTCTAAAGCTGCTATATCTTGGATTCCAAACACTGAAAGTTGCTTAGATACCATGGTGCTGAGATAGAGTAAGGTGACAATTTTTAAAGCTTCAATTTTCATTTACTTATTAATGCAGTATAACAATTTGCTTCAATTATAGTGACTTACTGTAAAAATGACATTCTTGTTTTTGCTTTGGTATTTGCATATCAATGGTATTACATTATTATAGCGCATACACCTGTTAATATCATATCTTGCATTTTCTGTTTATAATCTATATCTAACAAAGCCATAACACATCTTTGTGCTACTCTATTTTATACTTAACGATCAGCCCTAAACTGTTTTATGTCGATAGATGTGATTGGGAGTCGTCATATACACTCCCTTAGATTATGAGGTACACAGGCCAAGATGGTGGTAGTAGTAGTAGCTCTTATGTAGCACTTTTCATCAGTAGAGCTCAGAACACTTTACAAAGGAGGTCGAGATCATTATCCCCATTTTACAGATGGGGAAACTGAGGCACAGAGAGGC